GAAACGGCCGCTTTGACATTGCTCGGGCCTGTGTGAAACCCGCCACCTCAAAAACCTGCAGTGTCTTGTGTCTGGACCTCTAGGCCATGTCCGGTGGGGTGAAAGGACACTTAAAAATCACTGCGTTATTTTTCGAGGGGCGGCTAGGACCTGACAAACGTCCTGGGCCGCCCCATTTTTTTTTTTGATTTTTGCCCCAGGGGCCTCCATCCGACATGGGGACCGGACACCGGACACCGGACTGTCTGGAACCCAGTCCGGACGTCCAGGCGGTTACCATGCTACAAACCCTTGCGAGGATTGAGTCCCTCGGCAGTGTCTGAAAGTGCCGTGTGGGCCTTAAGTGAAGGCGGGCCTGCAAATATGTGGCAATTCCTGTTTATAGGCCTAAGAATTTTCTTAGCCAAAGTCGGGTGATGGCCCTGGTGTCTTAAAAAAAAAAGAAAGAGGTTCCTATAGTTCCTTGGTGTAGTTTAGAAGGAAACTTCTCTTTTTTTTTTTTCTTCTCATAATTTTTCAGATTTTTTCAGACTTTTTCTGAATTTTAGCCTATCTCGTGGGGTTCTTCATCGGATAGGCTAGTAATTGATCATGATCCTATTTTCAGACAAAACCGGGTAAAAGCCCCGGTATCTCAAAGTTTTTTCTGTATATGTTCTCAAACATGTTTCATGTTTCAAATGGGACGCTGGGCCCAGCACGTGCGGCTCCCCACGAATAGATTGGAGCATTGTTCCCATWAAAAAAAAAAAAAAAAAAGAGATCAGGCTGTGGGCCCCTTTCAACAAGCATGAGCCTGCCCTAAGTGAAGGCAGGCCCCTGAATTCCAATTATATGGCCTGAGTTCGTCAATTTTGGAATAGTTTGGTGGGCGCCAGACAGTTGTCACGCACCAGTTGGTTACATCCTCCGTACTCCTGAGAATCAGGAATAATTCGGGAGCCTTTGAGGCTCTTCCAGCAACACAGGCGAAGCAGGGAGAATCTCACGTTTACTCCTGGGTGGTTGGGCAGGTCTAACCAAATCGATCCCAGGCCACTGTCTGAATGGGCCTGGGCGCAGACACTTTGGCCGCATCAGAAGCTACTGGAAACACACGAGGCCCAGCCAGACAGCAAACTGGACGAGCACTTTCCATAAAGGAAAGAACTCGCCACTGGTGGGTTCATTCGGGCACTAGGCAGTGCATGCGGCAGCGCTGCTTGAGCGTGCGCTCGCAGACTGTGCGATGTGCGCTAGCGCTAGGTGCCAGGCAGTGCGCACGGGCGCTGGAAGAAGGCAGGATGCTGCTGAGGGCAGCGCCATAGCCAGCCCTACATAGCCAGGGCTTGGCTTGGATGGCCAGTGGAGGTGGTGGTGGTCTTCGTGTATGGGGAGGAAGGCGTGGGTAGAGAAGACGAGGGGGAGAGAGAGAGAAATGAGGATGATGATGTGAGGGCACGTACCTGGTCTTGGCGATGGTCCACAGGGTCGACATCTTGATGTACTTCGGTTGTTGCTGCTGACGTCAACAGATTGCACTGTCAATTCGTAGGCTGGTAGTAGCTGTGTGATTGTAGTCTGGGCGCTGAGCGCCAAGTAAGGAGGAAGGGCTCTGGATACATATGTTGGTGGTGGGAGAGTATCCTCTCATTGGCATTCGGATTCGGTGCTTTGGTTCTCCGTTGGTGTAATATCAGCGCATTTCTGCTTTCTGGACAGCGTTGGACTTTCTGGCTTTCAATGCGATTTTGCATTCTGGATTTCTGTCATTTCGCTATCGCTCATTTTCCTTGCAATTTGGTATCGGAGCAGGTTTGAACCACTCCGCTGGTTCCTTCGCAAAAGCTGTTTGGTGCTTCGTTGGGAAATGGAGGGGCTGTGATAATGCTTGGGCGTTGGTGTATAGGCGGCCCTGAGTCGTGAGGGGGCGCCTGGAAGGCCATGTGGTGACATAGGGGTGCACGCTGGATGATGACAGCTTGCTGATGTGGAACTGCATTGCATTGTGGGTTGTGCCGAGGCATCGACTGGTCATCATAAATGCACGTCACGTTACTGGTGAGAAATCTGTGGTTGGGGGCAGCATTATGAGGTACGTTTCTCCTTACCTTATCTACCCTCTTCGTTGCTTCTTATTGTGAGGAAGTGAGTCCTGTTTTGACAGTCCTCTCATTGTGAGGTGTCGCGAGCGCTCAACCTTGAGAGCCCACATTCTTCTTGGGGAGCAAGGCCAGGTGTACATCTTCTTCTTCTTCTTCTTCTTCTTCTTCTTATTATTATTATTATTATTATTATTATTATTATTATTATTATTATTATTATTATTATCTCTCTCTTCTTTGGTCTCTATCTCTTTGCAAGTGCTTTCATTTCTTTCGCAATTGGGTGGCATTGTCTTTTATTGTGAATTTGCACTTTGGGAATGACCACGATTGTAACAGGGGTCTGTTCTCACAACCCCAAAATTAATTGGGTTTTCAACCGAACGGTGCGTATTTCTGCAAGTACGAAGCTTGGCTCATCACAAGCTAGGGGTAAGGGGCTATGTGGAAATCACCAGCAATAATCAGTGGGATATTATCAGGAAGCTATGAGGGCAGCTCCATAGAGAATTTTGATATCTGGGCAGGGGTGTTTGGGGCGTAGATAATAGCAATGGCTTCCTCTTGACCCCCATTGAGGTTCGAAGCTGAGCCTATCTCCCTTCTTCCTTGTCAAAGTCCGAGTCACTTGGACTTGCATTGTGAGTTGGTGCTTGAGGAGGAGGAGGAGAGTGCACAGGTAGAAGTGGGAGAAGAAACATGAAAACAGCATTTATTGTTTACAGTCTTGAGTTAATCTCTTCTTCCCCCTGCTCTTCTTCAGATGGTTGTGTTGTTTGACACTCTTGCTCTTTCTCTTGCTGGGTTATTATTCACTGGAGCTTTGAAGGTACATGTGTGACTACGAGAATGCGAGCTTCAGGATTCGGGCTTGTTGCAGTATGATATGTTATTATTATTCAATTGAGCTTTGGAGGTACATGTGTGACTGCGAGAATGCGAGCTTCAGGATTTGGGCTTGTTGCAGTATGCTATGTCATTGCCTTCCTTCAAGTTCCTTGTATGAAGTCTATAGACTCTATAGTGTGCGTTCAGGATGGCCTGTGGGTTCAAACATGCTGATAGATGCAATCAGGGACGCAATGGTGCACTGCTAAAGAGTGCCAAAGGCGGAATTTGCAGGAAAGGAGAATCACCAAAGAGCCCGCAAATCATTCCGTCCTTGTAGATGAATGGACAGACAGACGGATGGATATTCAGTAACTTTTTTATGACACCGGGCTGCTCATCATGATGAGGCATTGCAATTGTTTGACAAAACCACTGCAGACAACACCAAATGTGCATGCATAGTAAGTACACAACACTGTCACATTCCCTGTGAGGCTGTGATGCATGTTGGCCTTTGTGTGCCACACTTAGAGGGGATAGCATTGCATGTGGCACCCGCAAGCTCCATCGCCGAATCGGATACCTATCTGCAGGTGTATCAGGTGCTTCATCCTGGAGACGTCGATAGTTGTTTTTGCTAGACCTCCAGCTGGACGTTGACCACATTCATCTGGACATCTGGTGGACCACGGAGACCTCGAATATAGCGCAATTTCTTCGGCATCTTTGTTGCTCCGTGTTTCTTGCTTTGTGTTTCCGCGGCCTTAGGCAACCAAACCTGCACTTCATTGTCTCTATGGAGGTGGCTGATGACAGTTTGCGAACTGTGAGTGCCCTTATTGCGAAGGTTTGCCAAATGTATAGCCCTCCGGCGTAGGCCCCATTCGCTCCATTCATAAGAGTAATCGATGAATCTATCCCTGAAATGGACAGGAGTTTGAGTTCCGATATCACAGCCTAGGGGTTGCTCGATATCTCCCAAAACCTGGGATATGTTGGTGGCCTGCCAAAGGTCCCTGTGGAACCCCAGTAGTCTGATGAGCTGGGGAATCTCTTTGGCAACCACTTTCACCTTCTCCAAGTACTGTTCTGGCGAATCTGAAAACCGTTTCATGCATTCCAAGTCTGCGAATGTGTAGAATTTCGATCGATACCTGAGAGTCCCCAAATCTGTCTTTCCTGGTACAGCCAAACCCTTTCGATCAACCATTGTGACGACACAGAAACCCTCAAGCTCTGGCGTAGGTGGTTCTCCATCTAGGAGGTACGCACCCATCTGAGTCGCAGATATGTACTGCACACCACTCTTCCCTGATGGTGAGGATAACTTGGTGGAAAGCTCTGGCATCTGGCCCTTCGTGTCCTCGCTGGCTGCAGGCTTCACACTGAAAGTGTCCCTGGTTTTCAGCCAGCGTCTTGCCCGTCTAAGGTCCATTATTTTCAGCTCAGAGTTCCGCAATCGGCCGTAAAGAAGGACAATCTCCAGCGCTCGCAATCTTGCTTTGAGGTAAAGCAATTCCTCCTGCATTATGACGTGGATGGATCCAACGGTGCTGAACAGAGGATAAACCAAGTGTTTTGGGACTGATGCTCTGTCACCGATAATCGAGACTAATGTCTTGAGAGCTTTTCGGTACTTTTCCGTCAGATCTGCCATCGACGTTGCGCCATCTTCCTCCTCCTTCTTCAAAACCTCAAGGAACTTTATGTACTGAAACCTATGGTGCATTTCATCTCGCAAATTCTGGATGTTTCTCTGTTTGTTTCGAAACCGTTGCCAAAACTCTGTCACCATCATTCTGTTTGTCACATCTTGCTCAGCCTGCTCCAGCTCAACTGCAATTTGCTGGCGGGCCCTTTCGCTTCTCTCCTGATAAGCGACGGAAGCATCCTCCAGGTGCTTTCCCCCTCTTCCTGCATGCTTGTTGAACAACCATATTCCCATTACAATGTTCCCAATCTCTTCGAGCTGGGTGCTTTTCGGCTCGGGCTCCATCAGCATCCATTTGCGGTATGAATGTCTAGGGAAAATGCTCTCCAGGGCGGCTTCCATCTCAGCCTCATTGACCCTATCCATCTCCATTTTTTCATGATCGGGTCCCTCTTCCTTTGTGCTCTGAGCTGCATTCCAAGTTTTCTTGTGCAGCATCGCGGCACCATGGACCTTGGGGACCTGGAAGGGGCCTCTCCGCTCTGTAGCATTTTGGGGGCATGAGTCAGTCTCCAATTGGCTGAAGAAGGAAACGATGGAGAATCTGGCCGGGAGTTTGATGCGGTGTAGAGGATCCCTCAGGGGACGGCGGCGTGGTCCCGCAGCTTTCAACAGCGACGATGAAGAGTTGAGACTTGACTGCGTCTGCACCCCGTGCTTGAGCCTTGTATAAACCAGAATTGCAGCTTGCAGGGCATCGAGGACTTCTGCTTCTTGTCGTTCGTTGATTACCTCGATGTTTACTGCCTTTTTCAGATGAACTTCAGCCTCTTTTTCGTTTACATCCAGTTGTTCCTCCACTGACTGCCGCTCCAGCAGAAAGGACTCATCGACCACAAGCTGCAGTCGTATTGTCTGCATGGAAGGCAAGTCTGGCTCGATGAACTTTTGACATAGTTCATCCTTCATTCGCTGATACTCACCAGCAGGCATGGGCGCACCGCTTAAGTAGTCCAGCATAAACACCCGGACCATGAAGCAAATATCCCGCTGTGGCACATTTACAGCATTAGAATGCTCCCTACACATGAGCTGAATTTCACGCACTGCCTGCCGTACAAAACTTCTCTCATTCATTGCTGATGGCACCATCCCCTGTCTCTTATACACATCTAGATGTGTATAAGAGACAGCCCCCTACCCAGTCCGTTTGCCACAAAATAGTGCC